CAACATTTAGAATTTTGTGGATTCACTCTTCAAACACACCTGTGGGCTGAAGAAGTAACCAATTGGTTAATTGCTTTATTACACATTTTCCCCTTGCCTGCATCAACGGAGCCAGCCGAGTTAACACAGTGTTGGCTTGTTTGTTGGAAAAACATGGAAAATTCGTGTTTTCTTTTCGTTGTTCCAATTGGCAACTAGTACTTAATAAGGAAAGAACCTGCAATCACTTCAGGAAGAAAAAAAATCACAAGACAACACCACCGACAGCTGCAGATTCCATTTTCGCTGCTTGTGTTTCCTGGCAAGGCCATCGGAGTAAGAGTACACAGCTTGTTTTTTAAACATCTTCGAGAATAAGTCCTCTGATGGCACCAATTAAATATAATGATTTGAAGAGTGAATCCACAACATTTAGAATGTTGTGGATTCACTCTTCAAGCACACCGGTGGGCTGAAGAAGTAACTAATTGGCGTTTTGTCAACGTGACACATTTTTTACCGATTGGCCGTGTCGGGTGGTGGAGGGTTGCGACACATTTATAATAACGCGATCTAACCCAAAAACCTTTATCATGAATAATACTGGTCGCGAAAGCCTACGTGTTAAACTGGGCACGATATACGATGGGCATTCATGTCCTAATTCATTTTAAAATCTTAATGGCAGGCGAGTGGCTCCTTGAGGCTGCAAATAGCGTGTTTACAACGAGGGCCCTTCAGGCAGAGCTCAGATGAACCATTAGCAGCTGCAAACTCGAAGCTGGGACATCGGGGTTAATGTCCTGAGATCACTCCACATGTGCGTGCGTGTTGGCTGTCTTAACGCGTGCACGCGTTGCATTGTGGGGGAGGCGGTAGCGTCGTGGTTGGCGCTTTGCACGCGAGTTCAATTGCCGCTCCCGACCAATGACAATGGCGAATATTTGAACCGATCCTCTGCCTTCCATAGGTCGACTCAGCCTTAAATGGGTACAGTGCCCGGTGAGGTGTGCAAATATAAGCATTGGGTCGACGAAAGACGGCCCGGCGTGGTGTGGGCGGCCACCCACCCTGGCGTGTGCGAGTGTTGGCCTTCAAAGGTGCTCGCTAACAGCATGTGACAACCATTTGATACCAGCGAGTTATCATATAATACATTTTTATTTAGCCACGTAAATAGATTTGCTGAGGTGGTATCAATTTCTCCTGCAGCCTATGGATTATAATAGGTGGCGGCTTTCAGCACTTGTCACAGTCGTGCAGAAGGCTACACAGGAGTATTCATCTTTTCTGTGTGTATTGTCGGATGTTGCCGCTAACTGGAACCAGTGGTATCAAGATTGAACTCTCTGGAGGAGGAATATGAAAGATGCTGCTCAGTAGCTAGTGGCAACCACCCTCAAAAGCAACACCGGGAAGAAAATTAATAATACAAATAGGGCTGTGAAGGTGCGTCAGTGAAGTCAATTTATGAACAAAAAATCGTAAGCTTGCAACATATTTGTAAGAGGTTATTCAGGCCTCGTTAAAAAATGGCAGCCACCCCTACATTCTAACTCCTGACCTAGGGGAGGCACAGGATCGGATAAAGCCAAGTTCTATTTTGCTCTTGATGTGGCCTAAAAATCACCAGGTGCAATCGATATTAAGGTATTTGTAATAGATTACTCAGGCCTCAAAAAATGGCAGCCACCCCACCTCCCAAAGGCGGGAAACCCCCTGCAAGTCACGCACCGATGAGGCCATAACGCTATCAGGTCCAACCCATCACCTCCCGTCCAGCGGCACGCGTGGGACGAGAGGTGAGACTTTTCCTTTCCAACTATTCTCGTATTAACCCATTAGTCGAGCGAGTGCAGCGACCATTGGGTAGAGAGATTACTGTAGTTATCCAGCCCAGCTCCAAACGGAGCAATGTGAAGTGTACCGGGTGGCTAAACCACTGGCAAATTGGCGGCGGTGGAGACGGTGAATCTGCTAAACGCACCTAAATCAATGAATGCAGGACATCTGGTTCTATCAAAATGATCTCCAGCCAACAAGCCCTTTGCTGCTCCGTGGCCTCGCCTCACTCGGCGCAAGCGCTGTGTCGCAGGCCAGGTCGCGGAGAACCGCGGCTTCGGCTGTTGCATTGTGGGGGAGGAATTTGCGCGCCATGCCGGCCTTAATAAGGGGCTCGCTAACGGCGCTTGTGGCGAGAAGTTTCCGAGGCTAAACAAGGAATATTTATCATTGTTACGGGGAGGGGGTGATGGTAGGTGGGGGGGGGGGTCAAATGAATTGCACGGTGATTTTAAAACCAGCAAGTGCAGGGCTCAGTGGCACGCCAGCAAGCCCACCAGGCATTTCCAATTTCTATGCGTAATTATAAAAATTCAGTTAGCAGCCAATTTCATTATGCGTTAAAATTCATGATTAAAAGAGCAAAGCCATGACACCCTGCAAATTAATGTGTCAGTTGTGGTTATGGAGGGAGGGGTGAGAGCAGAGGAATATGGAATTTTCGTTTAAAATAACATTTCCTTCACAAAAAATAAAGCATAGATGTACACAGAGCTATGAAGCATTAGAAAGTTCCCAACCAAGTTTTAGTTTGGCTTAAAATACCAACATGTTGTGAAAGAGATTTGAGTCCATTAGGATTGGGGAGTTGAACACGGGAAGAGCTCCTCAGGTGTGTACTCTTTTCCTGGATGCGTCCAACTTCAAAGTGGCCCTCACTGGACAGCCATGTCAAGCATCTTTGTAGAGTTATGATTCCACGCAATAATTCGTTATTCTTTCACAATTCAGTTAACAGACAATTATTATAACATGTATAATTGTTATCTCATAATACTCATTATAATAATGATAAACAATTTTATTCCAGACTTAAAAAGAGAGTAACATAATACATTTCCTTTGGAGAGCAACACCAAAACTAAACTGCACGACCCTTATAGCCATGAATAAGTAGGACCTTTATCTTCACTGGATATCAGACTTGCTTCAAACAATAGCATTTTAATGTACTTCCTGCAATTTCTAATGAATAGAACTCCTGCTGATCCATGGTCCGTGCTTTTCTCATATCGTTCAATGCTCCGACTGCTTCTGTTGTGTGTTTGATGAAGTTTTAGGCCACTCCGAGACCTTCAAACTGACTGCCACTGCCTCGCATGCCCAAGGCAGGTAACAAACACCCGCTCACGAAGGCTTTTCTTTTAATATATTCTCTCAAGCATTTATGAAAGGCACTGCGAATCTCAATAGAGTATACACCCTCGGCACAATGGGGAAACGTGTTACAGGGAGGGCTCACAAGGGGCTTGTAATGACTGCGAGGCAAGGCTCGGTGCTTTTTCACTTCACAAGTGCTTTTCCAGGCCCAGCTTCTTAGTAAATAGAAGATTGCAAACTGAGAGGTAATTTATTAAAACAGCATTCATGAATTAATTGAGTCGCGGCTTATCTGGCCGCTGCATGCAAGCGGCCGCAAAGTGAAGAGGAATGATGCCCGAGGGGCGAGGAGGTCCAGCGGGTGAAAACGACGCTCGCTTGCAAAGAGCACCTTGGAGGTGAAGGAAAAATGGAGCGCTCCCAGGTGCGCGAGAGAAGAGCGACGAGCGAGAGACATGGGAGAAAATTCAATCCGCCAGCATGGCTCCCTGACCTTGGCCAATGGCCACGTAAACGCCTTTCACGTCGGTGGACTGGCGCGAAGAGTCGCACCGTTTCAAACTTCCGAACGAAAATGGTTAAAGCGGCGCAACGCGGCGGCGGGGACAAACGATTCGCAAACGAGCCCCACGACGGCCCGTCAGTGACCCGCTGCGCATGGGACAGTTCGAGTTCACGGCCAATGTCGACAGCTGACCCGGACCTGCTCCAATGCTGCCGCGGAATTTCCGTGAAACTTAATCAAACGTTACCGGCCCCCTTGTACGAATTAAATACACAACGCGGATTAAAATTTTTTTTTTAATTCGGCTAATTGGATAAAAACGACTCTGTGTATGACGGGTGATTAAAATGCTTTACGTGACAAATGTTTTTACACCACGCGTGGGCGGATGCGCATTTTTCAATAGTGACCTCTAATATCAATGCACTCATTCGTGGCGTTTACGGTATGGAATTTTCAATCTGAGCACGGTTTACAGGAACACTGCATGTATCAGTGGTTTGAATGCACCTGGGTAAATTTGCATGATTATCAGTTGAATATGGCATGAAAGACGAACCAAGGTTGTGCCTCCCCTACGTTGCCAAGGCAACTTAGAGTAGTTTTTCCACAAAAGGCACAATATGAATTAATTATTATTTACCTTCATATTAGGGAACTCAATAATCATCTTAACTGAAGCATCGTCATCTTTACAAACTTGTCCCATTTATAAACAAACGATGTGTGAGACCTGCTATACAAACGGGCATCTTAGCGATGATAACGCGATCTTTGTTTTACAGGAATGGCTTGCTGAACGTTACAATTCGGTGCGTTTCACGATATTACATCAAAAACGTGCGGCCATTTTGCATTCCCCTATATCGTTGGGGGTTGTTGTTTTTTGTGTCGTTGTTGCCATACAGCATCTTCACGGAACCTTCCAGCCGCGCACGGTGATGGAGGTGACGAGTCATGGGCATCACGTGACGGAGTGTTCAGGGCACGCCATGGCAGCGGACAGCAGCAGCCGTGGGCCGGGATGAGGAATGGACCAGCGTTCTCAGCTCTGCATGCACGGACGCCCTTATTTCCCATCAATCTTGGGCGAAAGTGCCACTCTATGGCATACAAATGTAAAATCAAATCAAAAGGCTGAGCTACTCACTGTTGCCTTGTCACCCCCCCCCCCCCCCACCGCCTGAGTGATCCGTGCCTTTCTACCTACAACCCTCGAGTGATGTGGACACATGGTGAGAAAGACAAAGTGGGGGTATAAAATCGGGAGCGGTAGGAAGAAAGTGCAAAGGAATTGAAAGCTGGAGGAAGACGGGGGTAAGGGGCTGAAGGGAGACGGAGCTCCGATTCTCACCTGCAGATGTCTGAAAGAGCAGTGGCTTCAGTAAGTCCTGATACTCGCTCACTTGCTCAGGACGTCCTCGGTACACCCCTGGCAAGTGGCAACAAACACACGGCGCAACAAGTGTCGAGCATATCAAACAGAACGAAAGTTTTGCTCACCGATGCGCGCATTGGAGGGATGCCTAACTTTAATCAACCTAGATTTGAAGCTTTCGTGACTGCAACTATTCATATTCTTAGGTTTTTTCGGTAAAGTCACGTAGGTAAAAAATCAAAATTAATAAAAGTATTTAATCAACCTGATCTAAGCCCCGATGTTTTACACAGCAACTTCTTCTCCCTTAAAGGCATGGCCCAAAAGTTGGCGTGATTAATTATTTGATTTCCAGGCGACCACACGTTAGGAAATAAACATCGCCAATGGGGAGCAGAATGGGGAGCAGAATGGGGAGCAGGAGTCGTCCGTGCAGCAGGCCAAGGAGAGAAGTCATCTAAATTGTCGGGTGTCTACATGGATAAGGCGAAATGACTCGTACACGTTTAAAATCTGAGCTGATAGGCATGCACACCAAGATCACACGACGTTAAGCCAAGACTGTACCGTTGAAATATGAACAGTCACTCTCAAGCCCAGTGATCACCGATGTGAATTTTTTAAAAGGGCTGTCAAACTTTCTGTCCCTGAACTTACTAACAAGGCCTTCAAATGGCTGCACGCTATCAATAATTATTTTTTTCCATCTGTGAGTCATCCTTCAGAAACTTGCAGGAGCAGGAATCAATGATGGAACAACGGGATGTGGTGGTAGAGCTGCATGCTCGGGATTGGGGATTCCACACACCCACCACACTCGTAATGATTACACTGGTCAACAAGAAAACAACATTTTTTTCTGGCCTAGACTTTTGCAGCTGTTTTAGACTAATTTCAAGGTGCCGATTCCAAATCTGATCTCAGATTTGCTCTATCACATCTCATTTTTATGCTATCGGCATACCCCATTTTCATTGATTTCACCCAAAATTAACTCTGTCACTTATGATTGCAAGTTGTTGCGAGTCAGTGACTGCTTTAGTGTTAAAATATGGTGCTGTATTTTTAGGATAGTGTGTTCATAATATCATTTTATGTAGATATCCACATTTATTTGATATGTTTCTTCCGCAGTTTTTATTGCAAATGCAATATTTGATTTCTCAAAAACCTGATGTGGTAGACAAAAACTGATGCCAGATTTGGAATCAGCACCCCAAAATTACATTAAAACCGTTGGAATACTTTATGCCAGAAAAAGTGTGTTGACCAGTGTAATAGCATCGTTAGCTCTCAGTCAGGGTTGATTTTGCTTGGCATTGGCGTGTATTTTTAACGGTCAAGTCATATTTACTACAGTTCAGTATGAATACATGAGCAGCACAGATTATAAGTGAAAGAGTTAAGACCAGATCCTCATGGTTCTTAAAACACATTTTTTTTCTCCCGAGTAATTACGTTAAATTAACAGCAGATTGCCATTACATTTTTCATTGCAGACGCTAGCTTCCATGCATTTATCTAACAGCAGATTACACACTGTGTGCATTACCTGCGAAAATGTTTTAAAATTATCATCGCTTGAAGAAATTTAAAAAAATTAATGTTCCTTTCAACGAAAGATTGATAAAATCATTTTAAAAAATTACATGAAGGGTAATTGAGAATTAAAAATACGAAGGCATTTGTTGACACCCTACACAGCTAAACAAATGAGGCATAATAACCAAAGTGCATCGTGGAACACTCCAATGCATAACGCACAGAGGGACGCAAGCATGTAAAGACAACGATCCCCCGTATAGCCTTAACAGAATGTGGGGCAAGTGCTGTTAGCGAGCACCTATGAAAGCCAGCACGGCACACGAGGGGGTGGGTGGGCAAAACCACGCCTCGCTGCCTTTGTCTCCCCGGTGGTGATGTTTACACACCGCAATAGGTCCTCATTTGAGACTGAATCGACCTAGGGGAGGCCCAGGACCGGTTCAGATAACCATGACTGGTATCGGCCGTGAGCGGGAATCTAACTCGGGTGGCCGGGTTTGTAGCGCACCTTGCTAACCGCTACACTACCACTCCCCATGCACACACACACACACTAGGGGAAAAGCGGTCAACAGCAAGCACCATATAATTTACTTTTCTAGTTTATGAAATGGTAATTATCAATGGATTATTATGCAGCTTCAGTCCAGCCTGCCACTCGGGCAGCGTGCTGTTCTATGGTTTGCATCGCAGGCGCATTCTACGGAAGGTTTAAAGAATACACGAGGGAAAACCTTCAAATGTATTCACAGGTGTGTGCGCGCGGGGCAAAAACTTGAATGCATGTACGTTGAACTTCTTTCGCACCGTACACAGCCAATCGTGCTAACTGGAGGTGCGGGGGGAGGATAACAAACGTGTATGTGGCTTTCACTTGAAAGGCTTATGTGAGCATGAAACAAACACGGGAGAGTTGAAGAATGAGCGGGGTTCATGCTCTATAAAGTAAAGGCACGTAAACGTTGTCTCACCCCGCCAAGCATATCCACGAATTGTCACAATTCAGGGTCAACTATTCGCTTCAAGAACCGAATATTCTTTTTTCCGTCTCATCTTTTACGTACGACATCTACCACTGTTCATCGTTATGTTTCTTCTTCTCATTTGTAAACGAGATGTGTTTCCTCTGGAAGCCAAAACGTACCATCAGCATATAATTTGCGTATCGTTTGCATATTTAAAAAAATGTTGCCGAGAGTCAAGCGGATGGTGACGGAAGGCACGAGAAGCGGCAGGTGTTACCCCGAGGGCAGTTTGTTTATTCTTTGTGAAACTGGCGACTTTCTTTGGTGCTGGGCATGGGTCCAAGTGACATAAAATGCACGGCATTATGGAAAGTTTCTGACGGCTGCCAGCAATAAATCAGACACGACCAACTCCTTCACGTGCCAATTATTCGCACATATCATGAGCGCAGGAAGAAATCTGATCAAATGAATCGATGCGTCGTTACATGCCTACCATGCGTGACATGTGCATTGTTACTGGGAAGCTGACTGATAACGGAGCGAGAAACAGTTCGATTGTAATGCCACTCCTCCTCTTTACACTTACACACACACACACACAGACCCCTAACAGGGTGTAACTCTTACACCATTGGTAAGCTCTGCGTCCCTGTTGTGCAATGCCGGTACTCCTTGCTAAACACTGCAGCATTGTCCATATGTCTCGGTGCATTTGCTGTGCACTTGCAAACAGATTTTCAATCGTGATGCACTTTCATAGGGCAATGGACAACGGCGTGTACACAGGTACACCAGCGCGTTGCACGTACACTCATGAAGGCACGGATTCTTAATCTACATGTGCGGATTGACATAGATGCATACAACAAGAGTTTGCATTCGAAACACGTGATGTAAATAAATTAGAAAAATGTGTAATGTAAAGAGCCTTTGTCAATCCACTCCGAGATGAAGGCTTCCAAAGACCGCGTCAATTAGGGGGGGGGGGTGGTGGGGGTTGTTGGACCGTACTTCATCAGGCTGGTCGGTGTGGGTTTGTCAAAGGTGGGTGCGCGCCAGGACCGATCCAGATTTCACTCGCCACTGAAGTTTAGCGATGTCCGAGAATCAGAATCAGGCTCAGGTCACCGGGTTGAGAGAGCAAAGCGATAACCACTGCATCGCCGCTCTACCGCACACTTGCAATGTCTTAAGTGTTGAAGATGGGAGGCCTGCCGATTGCAATTTTGAGAGGTTTAATACGGCATAATTGAAGCCAATTTAACGGATCCCCATTACGACAGAGCAGCAGTTAGTCTGGTGATGAGATCGCGTGTGCCAGAATTAAAGCCCATTTCTTTGGGGACGATGCAAAGGCACAGAACACTTACCATCAATTATCATGTAGATGAAGAAGAGAGGGAATTCACATTCGATGCCATCAAAAAGCTGTGAAAACAAATAACAGATTGGGAAGTTGACTACTCTGCGTGCATGTATGCACAAGCGTGTAGAGGCAGAACGGATGGTCTTTGACAAATCGCTACGACTGTACGGATATGATCATCAACATCAATGGAGATAATACTGCATGTGCTGCAACAACCTATCTACATACAACATGTGCTTTGAGTTCAATGCTCCAGCTCTCATTACATTGTGTTATCGTCTCTGTTCGAAGCAGGTAATGTTATGCGTCATAATATCTTCATAGGCCAAGCAACTGGGAATATCTTATATTGCGAAAGAAAATAATTTAGCTATGGCCAAAGTAAAAAAAACATTAAGACACCTTCACTTAAAAATTTCACAAATATAAAAAATTCAACTGCACTTTCTACCAAATGTCAATTTAATGCAGCTATTCTTCATAAATTTAACAAAGGCGTTGTGACTTCGTTTAACGAGTGTTACCATTGAATTATTAACTCTTTTGTGGCAGAATGATTTGTGCACCGATTTCAGGGTTTAACGTTAATTCCACACTTGGGGTAAATTTAAGCACATCTTGGTGATGCGTTGTGCAAGCCCAGTAAGACTAAATGATTCGCTCTGCATTCTCTAAGCATAATAACTCCATCAATAATGTGATTAACCGCACCATCATAAATAACCCATCATGTAAAAATGAGGCACAGTTTGCATAAAGCAGACTTCTACATTGGCAAAAGATTCCACATTTTCAAATTCGCACTGCAGACAATATCCACACATTAATTCCGACAGAAATAAGCAATAATTGCAATAATATGCAAAGGCCTATTAACAGATTTTGAGTATTTTTTTGGACGAAAAAAATGTCATTAGAGTGCAATCAGTAGCAATGGTCTTGATTTAATTTGCAAATATGTCTTTTGGATGAGTTGCTGCATGACAGACTTCAATTTAGCGTGTCGCATTCAATTAGGTGTGATTGCATACTTATACCTCACCAATACACTTATTTAGTTATATGGTATTAACCTGTTATGCTCTCGAGCCTTCTTGGTCCAATATCCTTATATGCCCCTTGAATTTAAATGAGCCACTTTCAATACAGAGTTAAGTTACTGCTGTAAGTGGAATATTACCACTCCGCATGTTTCATTACGTGTTGGGCTGCCAACAGCTTAACCGTGACATTTACCATAATTCAAGGCAATACAGAAAAGTTAAAATAATGCAAACACAGTTTACATCTTATTCCCATCAATATGTTCGTGGGAATATTAATCCGGGTCAATTGTGAAAAACAAAGAGATATCTTACCTCAACAACGCCCCGAACATTTCCAGTGAACTAATGAAAGCAATTAGATGCAGAGAATGCTGCTGTGCTTGTGAGGGGGCAGGGGGAGGTGGATGGGAGGGGGATGGGGGGGGGGGGCATGCCCCTTCGTACGAACCCACAAAAGGTTGACGCGCAACGAAGACGCGTCCCCTTTGTCGAGACGCACAGGCGAGAGCGCCGTTCGAGGAGGCTTATCGACGTCCGGCTTTGCTCACCTTGATCTCGGCCGGCTTGTAGTAGCGCCGGCTCTTGTCCTCCAGCGCGGTGCGGTAGCCGTCGCGCAGGAAGCGGCGGAAACCGTGGCGGCCCTGCAGCTTGCGCAACACCTTGTCCAGCGCCTGGCCCAGCAGCGCTTCGTCGTCCACGGCGAACGCCGGGTAGCCGATGCAGGGCAGCAGCGCCGCGTCCGTGTTCTTTGCGCCGGGGGAGGGTTGGGGGGGAGGGGGTAGAGACAAAGGGGGTCGGTCGAGATCGTGCACGGGCGGCTTGCACGTAACTTTAAAACTCAATTCGGCACTCCGAGGATTTGAGATAGCGCGTCGCCGTGTGCTGTGGTAGGCAGCGTGGGGAAAGTGCTGCCCTCCTTGCGGTGACGACCAGAGATTAAAAGGTAGCTCAGCGATATGCACTTCCGTGGGCTGTTCTCGAAACACAAAGGGTTACACCCGGGGCTTTACGCTCGATGAATGCTTCCCACGTCGCTGGTGGACTAGAGTGGGTGCCACGTGACCAGCGGTAGTCACGGCCATAGAGCGACGCTCGATGTGGAGTGCCAGGTGGGGACACGTTTGCCGGGCCGCTCGACCAAACGGGTCGGGCTGAAATTAATCGCTGGTCGTACGCGGGTCGCGCTTTTCCCACGTGCCAGTGGCGGCAGCGAATGAGCAGAGTTGGTGGATCGTACAGAGGTCGATGGAGAGTCGGTCTCCCACCTCGTGAGAAATGGGTGCCTGCAGGAGTTTGTGCGGCCAGGTATGTTCCCGATGTATATGTTTAATCCCCCAATATGTGTCGCTTTCCTCTGTGCAGTTTGGTTTTCTCCCAAGTAGGCATAAACTCATGGAATTGCTAAGTTGTCTCATGCTCGACAAAGGATTGACATTCAGTGTGTTCCTGGATAAATATATCAAGTTATTATATTAGATTTTAAAGGTAAATACAACATCTAATATATAATAATCTCTTTGTCGATGCACTGCTGGATGAAGGCCACAACACACTGTGTTGATCATGGAAGTTATTTGACTGAACTTCACCGTGCTGGTCAGTGTGGGATTGTGAGGGAGGGGGCCCTGTACCAGTTCAGATATCAATCTGCGCTGAAATTAGCCATCGGCAGGAATTGAACTGAGGTTGCTAGCATTTGTAGTGCAGTGCAGTGCTAACAGCGGCACCGGTCCCCCCCTTTTATACAGACTGGAGAACACGTGGCCAGTATTATTATACGTATGTACGTTATTTATGTTTGCAAGTATGCATTTTGAGTGAACCAGTATGTACAAAACATGTGTGTGCAGGTATTCACGAAAGGATTGTCTTTTATAGTAGTGTACATTTACATGCAATTCACATAGACCAATATTATTATTTTCCTTTATTGCCCACTTCAATAGTTGTCATTGAAAAGCAATATTAGTTCCATGCATTTTAAATGATTCAACAAAAGAGCCGTGATGTTTTTTTTGCCACGAATACAACTTTCCTGCTTGGCAGCAGATGGGAGCCCCATAATATATTTAACATTAAAAACAAACAACAACAACAACAAAAAGCACCCCACCGGGCTCGTATTTGAAATCACGCGATCCATCAAATTTATATCAACACGCCGTGGCATTTTTCGAATTAAAACATCGCAAAAGCTGAAATTGATCCCGAGGAGGTCGCACGACGGGAGAAGATGCGCGCACTCCGCGCAAAAGTCGCGAGCGTGCGTCCGACGGGGGGGAAATAAAATCATTGGGAGAATTCACTTGGCTTCTCGAAATGGAAAAGCACTGGTTGTCCATCATTGCATTCCGGGGGAAAAAAAAATGGGACAGGAACACCTGAGAGGCATTGTGAGCGTGGTCACATCCGGATAAGGCTGTCGCAGCAAAGGTCCGCAAGGTAACTCAGGCAGAAAATTAACGGCCTTGCCAAGGTGACTGCTTGGGGAACAGCATTATGGCGTTTCAGTACGACAGATTTTCAAAAAACAGCATTCCACAACAACAATATCAACCGCGGCGGCGACCACAAAACTTTATCCACGTGGGCCCTGTACGTGACATATACTTCGAGACAGGCAGCATTTGTGAACACTGCCACTTCTGTAATACGGCCGTTATGTATTTCTCTGGCATCTGACGGCTCGCTCATAACAGTACAGAGAAGGATGTGAAATCCACGCGCGAAGCGCACCCTGGCATTTATTTCTCAACACAGTCAAGTTTGCCTTTGTTGTTGATGTACGACAGAACTCAACGATGGGAATTTGGGAAGAATATACTTATTGAAGGGCAAGAAGAGAAAGCAAAAGAGGGAACTTGACAATATCGTGCTCTCTGCGCTGACAGCTACCGCTGGCACTCACGTGGGAGCGAGACTCCCGTGGCAGGAGAGACGACAGCGTCTGGCGGTTACGATTGTGGGCGTCCAAGTCCACGAAGATCACCGACCAGGAGCAGCCCTGCACGGTGAAGACAAAACACACCAAACAACAAGAGCAGCCATTCACCACTACTTTACAGTGACATCATCATGGCACTTGGACCAAGCTAGCTACACTTTGAGCCCACCGTAAAGTGTTCAAGGCACGCTGGCAAGAGGTTCCGGAAGATAAGCATGTATACTCACAAACGCGCACATGTGTACACACAACCCACAAATGCAAAGATCAACCTCGGGGACTGTGAGGGCGAGTGATGTCAAGGGGTCACCCATTAAGGCGCGTAAGAAAGTAGTGCAGCAAGGAGCACCGAGAAGGACCGACAGGCTTTGCCTTCCTGATGTTCGTTGTTCACAAAGTGAACGGGTACTTTTTTTAGGATTTTAGCTGACCGAGAGAAGGACGAGGCCATTTTCAGTAACCACTTTCAATGGATGTGCTTGGGCCACGAGTTGAACTCGGCAGGCCAGGATTGTAGTTTACTTCTAGATTTGAAGCTTTCGTGGCTGCAAGGATTCATACTCTTAGTTCTTTCGGTAAAGTCACGTAGGTAAAAAATGAAATTAAAATTAATAAAAATAAAAATCATTTTTATTTTATTTTTATTAATTTTTATTTCATTTTTTACCTACGTGACTTTATTGTAGTTTACATTGCTGATGGCATGGATGACTCCATATAAAATGGAAGTTTTAACATTATAATTATTAAATTGCTGCCCGCAACGCCATCACTCTTCACACACAAACACGAGTACATGAACATCTGAGATGCATAGTCAAGGGTGCTCCAACCCCAGGGTCTAATGGGCACATTTAATGGAGTTGAAATAAATAGGTAGTAAGAACATATTCCTGTAATAACGATTCCTTTGTAATGCCGATGAACATGTTCCTGCCTTGAAAAATAGACAATAATAAATCTAAGTGGTTTTCATTACCAGGTTACGTAAAAAAAAAACCTTAATTTACGTATCTACATTGAAAAAAACCCATCATCAAATCTATCTCTGCCCTCATTCAAGTAAACCGAGCAACGGAATCACACAGTTAAATCTTGACTTGAAGGTTTTGTGACTGCAGGAATTAATATTCCTTGGGTCTTTCGGTAAAGTCACGTAGATAGGTTCAAAGAAAATAGTAAAAAAAATTACAGAAAACTACGACGTTTCGATCGCAACACAAGCAGTCGTCTTCAGGAAAAGGGGGGTTCGCTTCCAAGGCAAACTGTTTATAAAAGTTTGAAACGGGTGTAGCCCAAATGTCAGCAGCCAATGATAATGTAAGTGGTGGGAAGCAACCTGGCGGTGGTTCGTTTTCCACCAATCAAAGGGCTGCCAGGTGAAAATTAGCATGTTAATGAAATATTAGTATGTTAATGGGAGATCTCAGAGCCGTACGCGGTAGGACCAATACCTTGGCCGTGGCTGATCATTGTTTCAATGCGGTGGGCTCACACGACATTGATTTCTCTAAGACGAAGGTACTTAGCAAGCCCACTGGCTATCAACAAAGATTCGTTCATGAAGCCATCCATATATATAGACACAGACACAATCTCAACCGAGAAGATGGGTACAAATTGAGCAATCATTGGAAGGACGTTATCAACCAGTTTAAGTCATAACTGGCTGTGATGTTCACATTCTACCACCTTCCGATGTTAGTTGTGCTTTACGCCCATTTCAAACTTTCACTTTCACAGAGTTCACACCAATAGAGTCACTTCGCGCGCCGACCCCTTGGTTGCGGCTCTGAGATCTCCCATTAACGTGCTAATCTCTCATGAACATGCTCATTTTCACCTGGCAGCCCTTTGATTGGTGAAAAACTAACTACTGTCGGGTTGGCTGCCTACCATTTACATTAACATTGGCTGCTGACATTTGGGCTTCGCTCATTTCAAACCCCTTACAAACATGATAATTGGTTCTTTACCCTTCTATCTGGCAACAAAACTGACACGTTTGTTGCCAGATAGAAGGGTAAAGAACCAATTATCATATTTTTACTGGCAAATGAGGTCCCCATAGTGTAGACCCTTACAAACAGTTTGCCTTGGAAGCTAACCCCCCTTTTGCTGAAGACAACCGCTTGCGTTGCGATCGAAACGTCGTAGTTTTCTGTTATTTTTATTAGTTTCTTCGAACCTATCTACGTGACTTTTACCGAAAGACCCAAAAATAGGAATCCCACGGTTTTCAAACCGCGAATTGGAAAACTAATTTTGGAAGATGCGAAACTTATTCAGGAGGCACGAGGTTACGAAAACTAAAAACGCATTCTACAGTTTATCTGCATGCACACACCAGCAAGCGATGCCATTCGTTTTGCAAGCCTTCTCCTACCCTGGTGGACGAGACAGCTTCAAAAAAAAACCCCATCACGCTGTCCTTGAGGGACACTAAGGCAGCCTCTCCCTGTCAGCTTGCAGACATAAACGATCATGTGGAACTTTTTACTTCTCCTCCTCTCCATCCACGGGCAGGTCAACGGAGGGGGGGGGGAGAGACTGCCAGCCTCTCGTTGTTGCCAAAATTGACCACCTGCCGCCTCTCCGCCGTGCCCAAGCCACCCCCCCCCCCAGTGGAAATTCACATGCAGCGGCCGTCTGCGGGAATGCGCGTCAACCTCTCCGCCTCTCTCTCTCTCTGCAACGCTTCCTTGTCCCCGCACGCTGCAGGCAGGCGCAGGGCACCACCCCAAGGTGGCACTTTGTGCACGGTGCGAAGATTGTGCTGTTGTGCTAGTGCCGGCGCCAGCGTGAGAGGAAGAAGCAGCAGAGAGGGAGGGCCATAGTCAAAGGTGCATTTAGGCACAACACTTTGGAGTAAGGTCAGAGGGGTAACTTTTTGTACTTGTGTACGGTATGTTGAACTTATTTCGCACCGTACGTAGCCAACCGCGCGAATCGGAGGTACGAGGGAAGGACAAAAAAGAACGCACGAAAAATGTCCCTTCATTTTCTCCCACCAGTGTAATGTAAGCATGTGTTGCTTATATCAGAACTGTACTCGTGTAAGCTGTGCATGAAATAGTAATGACATAGTGCACGAAAAAGACCGCACATGTTTCCAAGGGAGCAAATGTTAGGGAGCATACCTGTCTGGTAGCAAGCCTTCAATTCTCCCCTTGACATGATATTTTAAAGAACAAGAAATAGAACACTTAACTGAATTACAGGACAAAAAAGACAGATGAAATAAGAATATAATTTGGATGTGCATACATTCTTTCTTTCCTTGGAATTGTGATTTTTTTTAACAGCACTTTTGCACGATAATTTTGTTGGCTGTCAAAATAGATTATTTGATGGCGCTCACTTTTTGAGGCGCTTCGTGAATGTACACCGCGTGCCAATAACGTGCCACAACATAATACTCATCCCCGGATGAAAGATTTATCATCGGGAGAATTCGCTGCGCGTCAGTGCTGCGAGGTAATCAATACCGGAGGCTTAAACATCAAAAGGGAAAAAAAGGCATTTATAGCTCTGTGTTAATGAACAGATGACTCGTCGTCAATATGTTGATGAAACATCTGCCAGACCTGCCACGTGATGAACCAAAAGTGGCCAGGATTCCGGCTATCGTCAAACCAAAATTCGCACAACATCGCAAACGTGGAAACCTATATACCCGTACGTTTATAGAATTCACGTAAGTGGACGCCACTGAGTATGGGAAAAACGCCCGTTTAAAACAATCTCGTGTAAAAAAGAAAAACGAGGAAATTAATAATACTCAGCCATGCAGGCATGGGTGTACTGAATGAATTACAAGTCAGCCCTTTGCAGTCACCATTTCCTAGCAGGGGTACAGTACAATAGTTCGTGTGATCTCTCTCCAAAGGTTGCGAACGTGAAATTCAGAACAAGAGTAAGAAGACATAAGCAGCTGTCACGAATGATATTTTTTTATTGATCCGGTGACTAACGTTCATTCGGCTGTGCGCTACATATCTAATGCAAATGGCTGAAACATATGCACCCTGCTGCGTGTGTACGCATGTGCGTGTTGTTCGTCGCCGTCACTTAGTGGCGAATGGCGTATATTGGTTGTTCGGTGACTGGAAGCATAACGTTTCACACTCTGCGTTCCAATTCGAGCGGCCCAAGTTAATTGTTGAGCAAACGTGCAATATCAGTGCATAAGTAACAACAACAATCAAATCACTGCTGGATGAAGGCCATAATGGTTAAATGGTCATACCTCAACACCCTCATCAGCGTGGGTTGGTGGAAAGGCACCCAGGACTGGTTCAGATATCACGTGCCGCTGACGGAAGCCATCGTCGAGGATTTAACTCAGGTGGCCAGGTTTATAGCGCAAGTGCACTATCCCCGCTGTGCCACGGTTTCAGCGGAGTTTGCGTACATGTTTACGTAAATACATCCTCCAGTGTTACAATGCCTGATTTATACACACAGTGCACTTAGGCTTCCTTGAAGCATTACCCTCATTCGTACTCTGATGATTGAAGAGTCCCTTGATTCTAAAGACAGATACCGTCCTAATATTTCCCCACCAACATTGTTTATTTTTTCATTGGATTTATTTTGTCTCCTGAGAATTTCGTATTTTTCTCCTCGTGTGCTGCAGCAACACAGCGGCGAGATTAAGTATACTTCATTTGATGTTATGGAGTCGATCTTTCATCTTAACCGTAAAAAAGGCCAGTGCATCCTCACGGATTGTGCAGAGCATTGCACGGTCCTCGCAATAATAAACCCAATTTATCTTTTGTCTGGAAAAGATAGCTTATGTTTCAGCTCTCAAGCACTGTGTGGATTTTCCACCAGTACTCAAGATTCTCATTAACACATTCAAGTCTGTTCGTGCCGAAATTCCTCCTTTACACGCATCTGACAGTTTATTTTCTGAAAAAACTTGAGCTTCGTTATTTTGTTCCATAGTCAAGTTTCACCCTTGAAAACAACACTTGCTTCGATGGTGTTTCACCATTTGCGTTCATCCGGTGCAAAATATAATTTCACATCCATTTGTATAAAAAAACTAAAAT